AAAGTTATATTTTGGTGTCATACTATGCATATTGTGTAGGAATATTATTTTCGACTTGAGCAAATATACCTTTAACTCTTGCGGTCCACTTTAATTGATTTTTAGCCCCCTTTTTTGTTGTCCGCAATATTTGATTTTTTCATACATCAAGAAGGAATTAACTTCATTTTTCTATATTTGCACTTTGAGTAAAGAGTTTAGGAGCAGGGGTGGATATGGATTTTGGTCGCCGGGTTCATCTGAACCCAGTACTTTCAACGTGAAGCACAACTTTATGTGTAAAAAATTATTAAAATTGCAACAAATAGGAGGCCCGGACCCATAACTTTAAAAATAGAGAAATTTTCACAAACCACTATTGTTTAGTGATTATTAGCTAGCTGTAGCTACCATTTACTATATTACTTCCTATAGCTATGCTTTCAGTTTTGCTAGAGTGTATTCGATGTATTTAAACAAAACTCGGCGTGAAACAGGGGAGTACAGCTAGGCAATTATTGTATTCGAATGTATTCACGATATGTATTTATGAATATAGTAGGGACAATTTCACATTAGAACAACTGGGTTCCCTACTTTTCAATTTTATAGCTCATATTTTAATTAATCAACTAGCCCAAAAATAATAGGCTAAGATTCAACATCCAACTCCAATAGATTCTCAAAATTACTATTTAATTTTTAAAAAAGATTCCTCAAGCTTTTAAATTTATTTTCGAATCAGTAACTAACTGTGACTCAAATATTAATTCAACAAACCAAATTCATTTGGGTGGTGAAAAATTAAATTTTTTAACAAGCTCAAATATGTGGGTTTAAATTTCGAATTTGATTTTGTGAGAAATTTAGAGTAGGTGTTATTTAGACTTGTTAGAAATAGTATAAGGAGGTTGTATATAAAATTTGAAGTCATTTAATGGAGATTTGGACTGGTTTTGAACAAGAATTGCAACTGAAAATCATGGAAGAAGTTCGTCTACAGACGCTTGTATAAAGATGTATAAAAGTGTATAATAGTGTATAAGCTGTGTTTCTACACTAATATACACTATTATACAAGATTATACATAATTATACAAAAAACTGACTTCGTCTTCTTCCTTGCATCTTTTCTGAAATTTAACTCAAATCTTGCTCAAATCTACTCCAAATCACTTCAAATTTAAATTTTGAACTCCTATTGATATTTTCAATCAATTGGAACAACACCCAATCCAAACAACTAACAAATTTAAAAAGACCATTTTCAAAAATAAAGCTTTGAATGGTCTTCAATGGTGGACTTCTACTCTTTAATTTTCTTACATTGCAAGGAGGTGACACAAGAGGACAAGCAGAAAATACACGGTCCCTTGAAACATATGTAGAAGATGTGAGAAGAAGAGAGAGTGAAAGCAATGGTTGTGAGAACATAGATTTAACTCCATAACTTTTAGAAGCAATGGTTGTAAGAACACAAATTTTGAATTTGCTAGTGTTTCAAAAGCACAATATTTCCAACTAAAATCAATAAAAATAGAACGAAGGGAGTAATAAAAATTGACACTCTAATTTTAAGCAATTGTAATTGAAAAACACGAGCAGCAAAGAAGAAGCTTTTAGAAGACCTCTTCCTGGAGAGGATATGTAACCGCTACATAGATATGGAAAGGTCATAATGCTTAAAAATTTAAAATACCATTTCAGTTTTCAAAATATGTATAACGTAGGCTAGGTGGGGTAAAACTTAAAATATGGGCCATTTTTTGTTATGGTGTGAAGTCATGTGTATTTTCTTATAATTCTTTCAATATAGTAACGTATCTATTCAGCTGTTTTTAAACGGAAAGTGAATCAATTAACACAAATAGACTCCTAATATAACTCAACAAACTCAATTATAAATCTGAATACATAAATACATATGAATACATAAATTATATTAATTAAAAAAAATATAAGAATACATTCATGGAATATAGCGAGACAGTGATTAAAATGAAATACATGGAATACATCGAGATACATTGAAATACAATAAAAAAGACAATGAATACAATGAAATACATAGAAATATAATGAAAAAAAGGTAACAAGCTCTTCAAGTTGCTCAGCCCCAAACTCTGTCGCCTTTGTTCAAGAATAACCCTAATGTCGTCTCGTCGATAGCAGATTTTGAACCTCCATTGTCAGCCCAATTTACCCTATGTCAGATTTCGACATTGATACGAAATATAAGACTTGCTAATGCTAAATCCCCATATTTTCTTCACTGGCGGGGCTTTTTCTTTTCTTTTTTTTTTGTTTTGAAAATATCTTTTATTGGATTGGATATAGGAGCAAGTACGATAACAAAAGGATTGATGCAATGGTGTCATTGGATTCGGAAAAATAGGAGGTTGGCACAATTGCGCTACCAGAAGGGTGTTTTATCCCGATGGAGTTTGGTGGAATGGAAAGGTAGCGGTGTACAAACCGAACCGGAAACTGCATCAAACCGAAAAATTGTTGTATTCTAGGGCTTGATTTCGACATTGATTCAGAACTCCAGGCCACTGGCAATGAAAATTTCATTCGACAATGGAGATGAATCAGTGGAGAATCATGGTTGTATTCATGGAGAAAGACTGGCGTTGAGAGAGAGAGGGTGGAGAAAAATCTGAAAGAATGAGAGAGAAAAATAATACAAAGCGTATTTTATGGCTTAAGGGTGGAAGGTGACCATAAATACATATTTGGCTATAAAAATCAAAAGGTAGCTATGGAATATAACTTTTATAAAGGATATTTATATAAAATAAATAAGGTATCAACCTTTGCTACATGAGGTAAAAATTTCTTAATACAATGTGTTCAATGTTAAAACCTTAAATTTGAATCCATAGATTCTAAATCCATAGAATCCCGCCTCTGTTTAGGAGTTTTTGTTATAGTTTCAATGAATAAATTAAGATTAATATGGTCAATTTCATTATTAATTAATGCTATAAGGTGGATTTCTTATATGTGTGAAAGCAACATTTTTTTTTTAAAGTGAATAGGAGGGAGTATTAGATTATAGACTTACTTGAAAACGGGCTACCGTCAAATACATGCAAAGGGACATATACATACCTACATTTTCTAAAGATATTCTCCTACGTATTTTCTTTTGAAAAAAAATTCCCAGCTTTGTTTAACCAAAAAATAGAATTTCGGTTAAAACTAGAAATTAAGAGAAAAAGTCGGGTTACTGATAATTAGGAGACGAAAAGAATAAGAAATTTTCGAGGATAATAAAGCAGTAAATAAGTTTGTATTTCAATGTAATCTCAATGATATTTCGTGTCCTTACAAATGCTGAGACCTCCTCCTTTTATAGTTGATTTTTCTAGGAAAATGTATAATGCCTTAGCCTTAAAGAGGCAATTATGAGCATTAAATGACATTAAATGAAACGTTACACAATCATTCCTATTCAATACTGATTCGCTAACGTATTTGACATTTAATACTGAATTTAGACTTCTTTATGCCATCAGATTCATATCTTCAATTCCTTCTGACCTCCTGGCTTTAATTAAGTTAAATAGATACGAGACTCGTATCAGTTGAATAGCATCTCGTGCCTATTTAACTTTCTTCTCCTCGTATCTGATATCGCCCGTGCCTCTTAACTAATCATCATGTTTTGACCATTTGACCAGTCCACGTGTCATGCCACGTCACCTCAATATTAATTCAGTTTTTTCCCAATACAAGCTTGACCTTAAAAAATGTAGTCTAAGGAGGGACAAGAAAAGACTAGTTAATTACACTAGACCAGATTCACTAGAGAATTCTTAATTCTTATGCGGCATAATATTTCTGTATCATATCCTCAATCATTTGTGCCATGAAAAGATGGAAGACAAACAAGAAAATTAACAACATAAGCTTATTTTCTCAAATCCAAGTGTCATTTGAAGTTTTGGAGTTTCTTCAAATTTTACAATAAGTGTTTGCTTTCAAAAACAGCAAAAAAGTTCAGTATTTAAAAATTTAGGAAATTAAACTGATTTTAAGAAATAATAAAAAGGTAACATCTTTCAAGATTTAGTTCAAACAAACACTAATTTTACTGTATATGTCAGAGGAAATTAAAAAAATAAAGAAAAAGGTCCTATCTTTTACTCAAATGCATGAGTAAAGTTTCCCTTTTGTCTTGATAGTTGGTCTATAAAAAGAAGTATTTTTCTCTTCAAAGAACGCCAACTACTCCTGAATAAAAAAAAAAAAAAAACGCCAACAACACTATACCATAAACTTCTCCTATATCATTTTGTGCTAAGGATGAGAACCATCCTAATCAAACCCCAAAGCATGGTGAAATTAGCGTAGCCTAGTCAATTTTTGGATGGGTAATCGAAAAATAGCGATATTTACTAAATTCTTGAAAAATAGTCATTATTTTATATGGAGGTAAAATTTGGAAAACTGCCAGCATAATATGCTGGATTATGAAGTTTATGCGTATAAACTTCTAGTATATTATGTTGGAACTCCAGCACACTTTGCTGAAATCTCATATATAAAAAATTCGAACTCCAGCATATTATATTAAAAATTTTCTAGATTTTTAAGCATATTTTTTTTTCATAATTTATCTTTACATGAAAATAGCTAAATTATGATTACTTTAAAATTGTATCTATTTTTCAATTACCAATTGTAAATGAGATAATTTTTTATATTTTTTCCCAAAGCATGCCATGGTTAACAAGTAACAACTGGATCTTCCGCTGTCCCTAACAGCAGCAATTTATTTTGTTGACTAAACAACAAAAATGCTTTATTGGAGTTTGTTTAGCCCTCCTTTGATAGAGGAGAAACAGGCCCTTTATTCTTTTCAAATTTTAACAGATGGAGTACTTTCTTTTTTTTTTTTTAATTTTATATCCATCTGATTCCTTGGTAGTTCAACTTCTTTTGGAAAACATGCTCTGTTATTTTGTGTCATGGGACCATGACAAATGTCCATATTCCACACAATTACAAATTATACCAACCATTTGTTCTTTCTTTCTTTACTTTTTATGTCACTTTTTCTCAAGTATTTCTTCTCTTCTACTCATCCTATATTTTTTTCCACTGCCATCACTACTCTTGCACTTAATTGATTTTCCTCTTTTTATTCTGATTTTTCTTCGCATTTTGGAGATACCCATTTGCCAGAAAGGGCTAAAGCTAAGCCTACATGTGAAGATTTTTCCCCCCTGGTATGCTTTGTTGTACACAAAATTTGTTTACTCTGTTTTGTGTCTCAAGTTTACATTTTTATGTGTTATTCTTTGTTTGAGGTGAAAATATGTATCTGGGTACTATTCAGTTTCTTGAAATTTGAAATATAAATTAGAATCTGTCTGGTAATGGGGAAAAGCAATCAAAGGTTTCTGCTTAATTGATTATTAGTTCCTTCATATTGTTTCTGTGAGTAAACCCCTCTAAACATTTTACAATTTTGTAGCTGATGATCTGTTGCTGCCCAGTAAAGTCATATTATTAGGACATTCTTATTCTGACTAAACATACAAATAGGTCTGAGCCAGTTGAATATCGCTACAGTTATAGAAGTTTGATTGGAAGTGTACTGTGTGCATAGGGTGTAAACTGACACCTATTTTGTTCATAGTGTAAAGCACTCCATGAACATTAGGCTAAGTGTACTACAGAATTGGACATGGTGGAAATTGTTGGGATAGCTTTTCAGGGTTAATCTTTTGGGTGGACGGATGTAGAGCTTGAGTTATGGTTTCATTCAAATTCAGAAGCTTTGGCTCGGACCGTGTATATGTGTGAAAACATTTACAATATAATACAAATAATTGATCCACCCAGTAAATCATAATAAGTTGTGTTAAATTTTGAACTCGAACCCATAAAGTCCAAATCCTGAATCCGCTCTGAGCAGTAGCTAACGTGTAAAATATGTAAGCTGTCAGATAAAATCTGGTGATGGCTGGAAGGTTTGGGATTATTAATTGCTTACTTGCTAAATTATTTGTAGCTAAAAAATGTATTTCAATTGGAAATTCTGGGAAAACCGTTTATTTCTTTGCTCAGATGAAGTTTGTTTTGTATTGATTAATTCCTGATGTACTTTCTGTTAGTCAAACAGGTAGGCTGTGTTAAGCGCTTTCAACAAGTCGTTGAGCGCTTGCGAGTATATGCGAATAGTCTTTTGTTGGCCCACTGCACCATTATTTCATTCTCATTTTCTGACTATTTGTATTTAGTTATTCCAGTCAGTTGTAGTTCAATAGTGCATTGGGTAAGAAGCACTTATATCTTGTTATGGTAATATAACCTACGCTCAGCAGGGTTTAGTCCATATATTTGCCTTAGCTAGTTCACCTTGAGAACGAAAAAGTTAATGTATTCACAAACATTATGGCTTGATTTTAGGAAGAAATGATCACACATTGTCCTTCTAGAGTTGTAGTCAACCAAAATCGACCCAATGTGAAATGTGAAGTAAATTTGAACCTGAGACCTCATGGTTTTCAACCACTTCATTGATCATTGGATGCTATTCTTAATCTGTTATATAACTTTAGTTCCCGTTTTTATTTTTAGTTTTTATTTTGTATGGGTGAAAGGACTTGTTGTCAACTTGATCAGTTGAATGAATATTTTCATGGATAATGCTACCATTTGAAATATCTACTTTCTATTTCACCCTCTGATGCAATAGAATAAGAGCCTGCCGTGTTTTAAATATAAACCTTCAATCTGGATTTTTTTTATAACTAATACTGTTCCATGTTCCATTTGTTGTAATTTGCAGCAGAGTAAGACATATATAACAAGCACCTGCAATGGGTTCTGCGGACTGGCTTAAGAATGTAATTGGTATGAGAAAAGCAAAGGATGGGAAATCAAAAAAATTAAAGGTAAGATACCATACTTGTCTCTTTTCGCTGATGAATTGCCTTAGATATCCGTACTCAGTAGTAGAGTTACATAATGTAATAGTAATTGTGGAGAAGAAAGGGAAGGTGTTAATAGTGTATTTAGGATCTTAGGAACAAGCAGGCTGCTGGCTCTGATTATCTAGGTTAAGACTTTGTTCTTTTCTCTGTCCTTTTTCCTTCTTTTCTTGTTACCTTTTCTTTTGGATCGAATGAAACACTAAAGACTCCGAATGGTGTTTCAAACAAAATTTGTACTCTTTAAGGCCACAAGTTGTATCATTAATTGATATCCTGCTGTCACAATCACTAGTTCGTGACAACTCATTCCTTCTATATTTTCATTATCAATTTTAGAATCACCGGTACTTTGTAAGGCCAACTGGATTTCACATTTTTAGTTTGAAACAGGGAACGTCAGCAATCAAAAAGTCTAATGGATGCAAAGGGGATGATCCCCTGCAGAAAGAGCCATCTAAAATAACCAATGGTGTCTTGATCAAGAATCAGAGGGAACTGGGAATGCCTATTGATGACAGAGCAGCTATTAAGATTCAGAAAGCATTCCGTGCTTACGTGGTAAAAGCATAGTATTTAATTATTATTTATAATAACATATAGATGTTTTTCTAATTTATTCTTCTTGCGATTAAATATTTCCTGAGTGACTTTTTTCTTCTAGTAACTTCTCTTGAGACGCAATATTGCAGTTATAGAGTGAGATAAACCTTCATTTCTGTCTACGGTCCTGATCGTACACTCCCAAAATTAGGACACTAACAAATTAAGGAACCGCATATGTGCATTTTATCATTTTTATGTATCTGAAACATCCCAATTGTTCCCAGCTCACATGCAATTCATCTTTATGGTTTCTTTTGTATCTTTGAGTGGGGTTGGGGCACCAGGGAATAGGATTCTTAAAATTATGACTTTACTTTGGAACATGCTGGTGAATTGACTGGTATCTTATTTCATGGCATGGGAAAAAGCCGTCTTTCGTATTGCTGTGACATCAGATGGATAAAATAAAACTATGACTTTAGTTTGGCCTTTGGCGCATGCTGATATTTACTGGTAAGTTATTTCATGGCACGGGCAAAAGCTATCTTCTGTTATTACTGTGACAGAAGATGATAAGTAATGCATTTCCCGTCAGATCATTTTAATCATGCTAAAAAATAGGATCGCGGTCTCAAAAAATGGAGAAAAGAGAGGTATCATATCCTGCATAATGGTTTGGGTGTCTTTTCTCTACTGCCACTGCACTTCTTTGATCACTCCTTTAACGAGTGAAATCCTTTAATATTACTTGAAGTAAAATATTCACTATCCTGACAGTATGGCTTATTGATTTATTTGGTACAAATTGAACCACTGATGTTAGATGAGTGTTTCTATAAACTCAACATGCAGTGAGAGACTTAGGTTCGGATTGCTACGTGAAAGACTGTTGTATATGGTTTGTATTCTTTTCACTCAACAAAAGGGCTATCAGATTGTGCCCTTCACGGTGTCTCAGCTAGATGTTGGACTTTTAGACCAAAGATCCATTTAATCAGCTGATAAATTGTGTAACAAGTAAGAGTGGGAATGTATCTTTCAAACCTTTGTAACAACTACAATAACTACTACTGCGCCTTAGCCCCAAACTAGTTGGGGCCGACTATATGAGTTCTCATTGACCATGTTACTCCATTTAAACTCATCTCAGGCCAATATTATCTGGTTCTTATTGGTGTCATTTTCTCTTATCTTACATGATGATATTCTCTTGCTATTGTCTGAGTCATCCAAAGAAGGCGCTTCAAGTCTTTAAGTTGAATAGAGTTTTCTCCTTTTGCAGGCTAGGAAAACATTACGTCGATTGAAAGGAAATGCAAGGTTACAGTCCCTGACACAACGTCTGTCGGTGAAAAAACAAGCTTCATCAGCTTTGAACTATATCCACTCGTGGAACAGGATGCAAACTGAGATTAGAGATCGCCGTGCCCGTATGGTAACAGAAGGGCGTCTTGAGCGGAAGAAGCTGGAGAATCAATTGAAGCTAGAGGCAAAGCTTCAAAATTTAGAGGTTAGTCAGCGATGCTCTTATGCTCACTAATTGTTTATCTTACCATCTTTCTCCCCAGTCTTTGAAGCCTCCAAATCATTATTTGCTAGTTCTCTTTCCGCTGTCAAGAGAGTTCTTTCCTTGATCTTTCAACTGTTATTATTTCTGTTGACCCACAATAAAAGATCTATTAATTCTTTAAGAATAAATGACTGTTTGTAGAAGGAATGCATGGAACTCCATTAATAGAAGTCAGATATCCCAAACTCACTGTATCAAAATGAATGCCTCAGCTATCTTGGATTGTGGATATTAGTTTAAAGTAGGATATTTTATAAGCTTAATTATCCCTGTTTCTGAAACTTATTTGGAGTTGAACTTTACAACTTTGTAATCACTCTCATATGAAGATACAATGGAGATTGGTCTAAGTGGTTCCTGTGGCCCATAGCAATCCTATAACACTTGAATGAGTTTACCAGAAATCTAGAGGTGCAAGAGTATAGATAAGTGAAGTTTTAGCATTTATGCTTTTTAATCATTTCCCTTCGTATTTGATTCACACCTAGTGAAGTTTCTAAAACATGGAACAACTACAATTTCATCTTAATTGAGAATGTTTTGCTTTAGCTGTTTTCCTAATATTGACCTGGCATGCAATTTATTATCCTACTTATAATTAGCTATGTGAATGGCTGACAGGTAGAGTGGAGTGGTGGCCCTGAAACAATGGAAGTTATTCTAGCAAGGATTCACCAGAGAGAAGAAGCAGCAACGAAACGGGAGCGTGCTATGGCCTATGCATTTTCACATCAGGTATGTTAAACTGGATAACAATCTTCAGCTTGTTTACATTTGCGATCTCAGAGCAGGAATTACCATTGAAATATTATCATGTTACAGTGGAGAGCCAATTCCAACCCAGTATTTGGATCGGGTAATCATGAAATGAGCAAAGCTAATTGGGGCTGGAGCTGGACGGATCGCTGGATTGCTGCTCGACCATGGGAAAGCCGAGTTCCTGTTCACACAAGTCCAAAGAAAGTCAATGGTAAAGCAAGTAAGACCACTAAAAGTAGTACTACTCCAACAAAGAAAACACCAATTTCTGTTAAATTGACTTCGCCTAGTGGGAAAGGCACCGTAAAAGCTAAAAATTCAAATGAAGTAGCTGATAAAGTAGCTGCACAAAAAGTAAGCAGCAAAGTCAAGGAGACAGGCACTGAGAAACAAGAGGCGGTAGTAGAAGCAAACTGAAAAGGATAAGATGTTGAAGGCAAGACATTTGGGTTTTTTCATTTTACTGAGGATGGGGGTGAAGAAAAATATCGTGTAAGTTTAATCACCGAGCATGAGTTGATGGATGTGGAGTGCTTTGTCTGAGAGTTCGCATTGTTTCTCTTTATTTTTCCAAACTCTTCTTATCTGAGATGGTAAGTTATTCATCATAGGTTAAAATGTGTATAGATGTCATATCTCATTCAAGAGTATTTATATTATAGCTTTGAGTGCCCAGAATAATCCTGTTCCGATGTCTATTATTGCGGGGTGCTTTTTTATTTGTATAGATTGTTTTCTTCCTTGCCGATCACAAGGCAAGTCAGCAGCTTTTCTAGAATTACATATCTATTTGAAACAACCTCTCTATCTTCTCAAGGTAGGGGTAAGGTTTGTGTATACTACCCTCTCCGGACCCCACTTGTGGGATTACAATTCTTCCGACGAATATATATTTGTGTCTTTTTGTGTGTCCCTTTCTCCTTTTCAGATTAGCATGCAGTGGAGAAGAAGCAGTGTCTTCAGTAACAGGTATAATGTTGCTTTGACAAAACGCAGGCCTAAAAGATTAAATGAAGCAGCTTAAATAAGTGAATTATTTTCCAGTTGTCTCCTTTTATTTTCCGAGTCACATAGTAATTTAGAAAGCAAAAAGTTTGCCCCAAGTGTGAAGGAAAGGAGCCACTTCTATGTGACACTAATATGGTGAAGAATGAACTGAGACTGTCTTGAGAATTTTCCTCTGTTATGTTCGAGGTTATAATTCAAGTAAGATCACTGTAATCTAAAACTTAGCTCCGTTATATGGATATAGCATTGTCTTAAAGTCAAGTTACGAGAAATCAAAGTTATTTCACTGATGTTTAACTGATGTCTTTACGTTATTTAACACATGAATATTTATTCACACTTTTTGTTTAGATCAAATCAAATAACTTAATCTGAACGGTTAAATTAAGAGTGAGACTACATATCATTTAATCATTAATAACTGATAACTTTTATTTTTAATATTTCTGTAAACATCGCTACGAATAAATTTTTACCATTCCAAGCATGTAGATAATAGGAATTACGTGGAGGAGGCCGGAAAAAGGTAGATAAAATAAATGTGTTTGCAATAAATTTTCAAGATATGAAAAATAAACTGCAATCACAAAATAAGAGAAAAATATTTTTACTAATCAATTGTGAGTATAATTCTGTTTCTCCTGATTATCCCCGTGATTCGAGGGTTGAAACCGCGTATTTCTCGAATGTAGGATGATGCAAACCTCCTGGGATATATTTGATCTCCAGCTTCTTGAACTATTTGATTGTCAAGAAGTATCCGGCCATATTTTGATCTCTTTGTGAATATCACAAGAGGTTATGGGATTTTGAGGCACCTCTTCAAGAGAATATGTATCCCTTTATATAAGTGTGAATTAGGGTTTAGGTAGATTAACTCCAAGAAACCCTAATAGACTCCTAGGATTTCAAGAATCGTGTAATATCATTAATTTATTATTTCGCTTGATTCCTTAAAATATCGATGTCTACAAAATGTTTAAAAGCCTAAGGGGAATTACACATAATAGCTACATAAAAGTTCTTGATGAATCAACTAATTGAAGTTAATTATGCAAGCTGTTCCTCTTAGAGCCTTCTCGGCTTTTAGGCTGAGTAGAGTTAAGGCCGTGACGAAGGAAATGTTCATGGATTAAATTAGAGAAAACCAAAAATGTAAACAAATCGCGACTAATAAATCTGGTACAATATTCTTGAATTTTAATTGAGAGCTACTCATTTTCAATATGATGATTAATTGAGTGGCTAAGGTTAGCATCGACAATTTAGATAAAATATTTCTTTTCTTCTTCTAGATCCGAGGGTCTTTCGAAAACAGCCTCTCTATCCCTTCGGAGTAGGGGTAAGGTCTGCATACACACTATTCTCCCCAAATCCTACTAGTAGGATTTTACTGGCTAGTTGTTATTATTCTCGTTGGGAAAGTTATTCTTATTTTCAGATAAACGAATTTAATTTGTTTCATCTATCTATTAGTAGTAAGTTCTTCAAGCAAGTTGGGAAAACAAAAATCCTTTCTCGAATTTTCAGTATTCTCTTTTATATTGCAAGTGAAATTACAAAGCTCCAAATTAGTACTTTTTTGTAATTTTCTGATACATACCTACTGAAAATTCCAAAACCTTTTTCGTGACAAAAGCATCTCTTTGATAATTTACAGAAATTAAGGGCCCGTTTGGCCATAAAAAGATTTTCACATTTTAAAGGAAATTTTTTCCTTTTTCTGAATCGGCGTTTGATCATAAAAATTTTAAAATTCACTTGAAGTTGAATATCGAAATTTTTCAGAAATTTGAAAAACTCCAAAAAGCTGTTTTTCAAAATTCTCAATTCAAATTACTCATAAGAATTTTAAAAACAACTCCAAATTATATTCGTGTCCAAACACAACTCTAATTTCAAATACCATTTTCTCTTGAAGGAAAATTTTATTTTTTTTAATTTCACAATTCTTAAACGCCCACTTATAAGTTTTGCATGTCAAACACTTGCCAAATAAATTTCTTACATTAACACATCTTCAAGAGCTATTTTAATAAACCAACGGATTCGTGATTCATAAATACACCTGGAACCCCTTATTAGCTTCATATTATGGAAAAGATAGTGATAAAAATCATTAACTGATTAAATTTCTATTAGTCAGACATAAACCTTATGGTAATAATACCCTATCAATTTAAAATATATTTTTCACAAATACATTGGAAGATTAATTTTTTGTTTTTGTTTTGAGGAAAAGGTATTCACATGCTATAGTACTGGATGATAAAAGACCATGAAAAGATTAAAAGGATTCACGTGCTATAGTAGGCATTGAGAAGACCATGCACATGCACGCATGCAATTTGTTCTTGTACCTTGAGCCTAGGAGGGCCTCATGATCAATTAAAAAAAGTCTTTAATTTAATTCCCCATTTCATCTTAAACCCGTTGTTATTAGAAGCCTTTATCGTAAACGTTGGTCATGCAAGCAGGGAGAGCTAAATAGTATAAATAGAGTTCAATTAAATTCCCTTCATTATGATGTCGAATCCTCTTGATCATGCATGCAAGGTTATACTTGTAGGTTCAAATCTTAATATTTTTTTGAATCACCTTATTAATATTTCTCGCTCGGCCGTGCATGCAACGCCTCAAGTATCAAGAACAGAAGAGGGTAGAGGTCGCTTTCATTTTCTGAATTTACTACTGGCATACTGTAAACAAGGGACGCTTTAAACTTGGTGATGATTTGAGGCTAGTGTATTTCTGGCAAGCAGGTTAATTAAAGTAACAGATGAACAGTATTATAACTATTTGTACTGATGGCTGTGCAGTGAACACTGATCAATTTATGTCATAAAAAGTGAAAAGTGAATCCCAAAGAGTAAAACGAATTAGCTCTTTTCCTTGTTGGGACACTGGATAATCAATGCCTGGAGGTGTGGTGAGGAGGGTTGGGGGTGGCAGGTATAGTTGTATTTCATTATTTGGATAATGCAACCATCGTGGAAGTAGGAGGAGATTCAATGTTAACCTTAAACTGACAACAGAAAATACTAAAATTTACAAGGATCCTTCAATTCTTCTTAATCCCAAGATAAAGAAAAACAAATTTCCAAGATATTAGAGAATAGTACAATTTACTCCCCGGTCCACAATAATTGACCAATTTGGTTTTTATTTTGGTCCAAAATAAGTGTCCATTTATATAATTAAGAAGAAATTCAATTTGTTTTCCAAAATTATCCTTATGTACGTATCCCTAAAAAGTCATTTACTCCTCAAATTTGAGAAGAGAAGTAAGTGCTATTATAACTATGGTGCAGCATTTAATGAAGTAAGTATGAGTTTTGAATACATGCTTATACTACAGGAAATAAAGTTTTCAGTATTCTGTGGTGACCTCTAGTCGCCAACAAAAGTAAGTTTCAACGGCGAACTATATATCACTACTTCGAGCAGGTACCTACCTGAAATCTATTGTGGCGACTTGGCATTTATTTTTGGTGTTGACTAAAGAGGTTCGCACGGAATATTATCATTGAAAACCTTGTTTTCTGTAGTGTTAACTCTATTTATACTTGGGTTTTTCACCCATATATAGGTTCTAAACATAAATTGTGAGTTATGTTGAACTTGTAGCACCCATCTGGTTCACCGATGCCTTTTCTCCCCCATTGCATAGAATCCTCGTTCCTTAGGCAAGCTACAGTGTCTATGTCTTAGCTGACTAAGAGGCACGTTAGACTAGTAACCATATCGAAAAATGAACTTGTGTAAGTGATGGTATTTCCCGCAATATAGATAGGGAATGTTGCAAATGGTGAAAGGTGACAAATCAGGGGCGGATTTAAGGGGAGAAAGGGTATTCACCCGCACCCCCTTCGCCAAAAACTTATACTGCATATGTGTCAGGCAAAATCTATTTTTAAACTCTATATATTATGTTTAGAATCTTCTTGGCATAGCCAAAAGCATAGCTTAGTGGTCAAGGGGGTTCGAAAGCCTTTGTAAGGTCATTGGTTCTATTTCTACTAGCTACAATCTTTTTAACTTTATCCTTTTTTGAACCCCTTGGCGATAATTCTACCTCCGCCGCTTGTGAAAATATTGAGTGTTTTTACCAGAAGTAACGCATCTGGGCTTCAGAATTTACTGAGAACCAGCCCTTTCTTTTGCAATGCTATGGGAACCAAGAAGGAGCATCTTTTTTAGACACAGACTTGGATACTTGTTGGGGTGGGAAGGAGTAGTAACTGTTCACACTTAGGGGTCGTCTGGTTTGAATACAGTTTATGCCGGTCGGATAAGTTATGCTGGGATTAGTTATTCTGATATTGTTTTTTATCCAGTGTTTGGTATGTTGTATTAAAAATGACAATTGCATAATTTCTAAGAAGAAGATATAAGTTATTCCGGCACTAATTACCCCACCCTCTACAAGGTATAAGTTATCCCGGTACTAATTTTAATCCCGGGATAACTTATACCGTGTTTGCTAACCAAACAAAGTATTAAGGTGGTATTAAATTTTTATACCATACCTTCTTATACCTCATACCAAAACCCCTTAGAAAATTATCTACGCTCTCATATATTACATTTCCAAAACCTTGGGATCATTTATCCCATACAGAAGGTGAAATTATAATCTTATAATCTCGGAATAACATGTCTTGAAAACCCCTTTAATTTTTAATCTCATGTATCTATCTGAGGAAATTAAAGTACCAAATGTACTATTGGTATCTTTTCCCTGTTGGGCCTACATGCATGAATTTAAAATGGTCTCTGTTCACACATACT